TCCTTATTTGTCCTTGTTACCCAAACCAGGTCACTGGCCCTAACACCTTGGATTTTTGACTGTCCGTTCCAAAAATTCACTCCTGCCTTGCTTAGGGTATCTGACAGGTCTTTTCCACTTACTTGGATAAACAACAGCTCCTGTATATGTGTTATATATAAAGCCCTGTGCTAAACATTCTCCATATTCTACACATTTAAAAAATTTCTGTTTGTTACTTTATAGGTGTCTCCAACAGAAGCTGCTCACTGTCTAACTTTCTCAACCCTATCAGACCTAATAGTTTCATGCAAAAAACCCTCACGCCATTTATTTGCTTCTGCAATTCTCTACCCCTCCTGTAGTGGGTGCTGTGGTATGGGTGCTCCCAGCTGCAGGGAGCACTGGAAGCTGACAGTTGTCAGCTGAGCTCCTCTCTGGGCATTCCATAAGACAGCTTCCTCACTTAGGTCACAGCACATCCCTGGACCAGCCCATACTCAATGCCTGGTTGATGCAGAAGCGTAAGACTCAGCCCCCACATTAGGTAGAAGGACAGTGACTGGCCAGCTCAGCTCCAGAGGTCCCCAGAGCAGCAGCTAAGGCCCCAACTGCAAATGCACTTCAGCTTCTCCCTCTCCCCAGTCTTGCTTCCCTCACCCCCAAGATGTATTCTGAGAGCACTCCCTGATAAACCTCCTTACGTAAATCCCACTTCCCTGGGAAGTCAACCTACAACGGGTGCTACTGGGAGTGGTAAACAGCTCTCAATTTGGATTTTGGAGCTGGCTCGCTGGCCACTGGCTGGCAATGAGGACCCTGTCCCTGGTGGTAGGGGGCTACTGACAGCACCTGTCATACGGCTGTAGGGCAGCTGATGCAGCTCTCACCAATGGGGACCTGGGATGGAACACTGGTGGAAGGGAAGGTACTGGCTGGTGTGTTATTCTGGGAGTTTAGGGGCAATCAGCAATTTTAAGGACTTATATCAGATGGCTGTGGCTGGGGCCATGGATAATCTGGGAGAGGGACAGTGAGATGATGTGTGTAACTAATCATCAGCGAAGGTGAGTGCCAAGGGCAGGAGCCTCCTCCCGGCAGAACAAGACTCAAATTACACCCAGAGGGCAGAAAATGCGGGGGTCAGGTCTGGGGCATAAGAGCTTCAGGGAGTTTGGCATTTCAAGCACATGAGACCTCCTACACCAAGGCCAGGGTCCTGATTTGGGAGGAAAGGGAACCTAAAGCTGGGTAGGGGGCCCTTGAGGTCAATGTTGTAAAAAAAATCTTGAATTCCCAGATTCTCCTGACCCCTCTAGCCCTGAAGAAGCCGCTCATTGTCTGGTTGACACTTCCGCCATCTTGGAAACTGGGTGAGGGGTGGGTGGGGGCTTCTGCCTAGCAAGATACGTGCTGCTCTCAGGAGGTCTCTCCACCTCCCCTCCTGGCCAAGTTACAACACAACCGGGCATGAGAAGGATAAGAAGGAACAATACGTGGAAGGAGCTGGAGGCCACCCCGGCAGCAGCCAGGAGAACAGAGACCCCACTGCTTAAGGGTGGTGTGTCAAGGCACAGAACACAAAAGCGGCTGAGAGTTGATCAGCATGGGGCACACTCCTGTGATGAATTTCGCAAACAGGCAAGCACCCTGGGAACTGATATGCAGCTGGCTAGGTTTGCTCCTGCAAACTTCGAGACAGTGATGGTCCACATTAAGTAAAAGTGACAGAACAGCCATGGCAAACTAGAGGAAAGGCTCAACAGCCTCCAAGAATGGGGATGCTACCACAGATATAAGATATAAAGCCCGAAAACCCACCAGCTGACGATGTTCTTAGGAGCGACCGGAGGACACTGTATACCAAAACCACAAGGAAGCCACAGTTACATCTTTATAGAGCAGGATGCCCTGACAGAAATGGAGATGAAAGAATTCTGAAGCAGAGACCAGGTTGGGGTGTTAAACAGAAGTCAAGGTGGGTGCCACCATCATAACTAACGGCAAGGCTGGAGTGGCAGTCGGGAGTGTCTGACTTACAGAGGGCAACAGAGCTGATGACTAGAACAGTGTTCTCAAGGGGAAGACTCAAGGGCAGCGGACAAGGCTACTTCTGAATTACACAGTCATGAGAAATTAACCTCAGATGACTCCTGAGGCTGAAGGCAGTTGCTCTAATGCAAAGCTCTCAACGTTGCCCCGGTTTCTGGACCTGAACCAGTTTTCAGACCTGGAATCCATTTACTGAAGGAAAGCGTATGTGACTGACTACCCCGGTCCTTCACCAAAAGGACCTATAGTTATCAACTTGGACATAGTCTGTGCTGACAGTGATATCCAAGGACCCAAAGAGTCATGATGACCCCCTGACCACTCCCCACCACCCCCGACAGCATGTAAGAAGCTCACAGCTGGGTCCAGGGACTTATCTGGTAATAATTTCCTTGATTTCCAAATGTATAAATCAAGGGGATGGACTGAGTAATTGGCAACAATAACTCCCACTTCAGTTCCTTTGGAAGTGGGTTAAGAGCTATCAGAGTGGGAAAAGTCAAATGGAAGCCTCTGAAACTGCCCCAGTGACCAAGATAATAAATTAAAAACGATATCACATCCATGGGGAATGGCAGAAAGAGTGCTATTCTTAAGAGACCTTAGATACAGGCATGGTGGTCCCTATCACAGTCCCTTGTAATTTACCAGCCTTCTTTTACAAAACACAAATAGGCGCTGGAGAATGACAGTGGTTAACTGCAAACTCAAGCAAGTGGCAGCCGGGGTACACATGCAATACCACACATGGTAACTTTACAGGGGAGTGCATTAACACAATCTCATGGTATTGACCATTGATTTGAAGAATGCCTTCTATTCAGAAGCAGCAGCAGGAGTAGTCTGTAGTAACATGAAACAGATAATAACAGTGTATGTTTATGATCCTGACCAGGATTTGCTAATTCTCTCACCCTCTGTCGTTACAGTCTTAAGGGAGTGAAACTTTCTGGACCTGGGCTGTCTAATACAGTAGCTACTCGCCACTCATGAATATTTCAGTTCAATTTTAAATTAATTAAAATTAAGTCAATTCAGTTCTTCAGTAACATAATTTAGCAACATTTCAAGTGCTCAAAATAGCTACAAGTGGCCAGGAACTACCCAAATGGACAGCACAGATATAGGACATTTCTATGACTGCAGAAAGTTTTATTTGAATAATGCTGTTCTGGACATTCAGCAGAATATCACATTTGTCTACTATGTTTATGCCATCATGTTAGAGCCCAGAAGTAACAAGTGGCAAGTGTGTTAGAAGGCTTGGTCAGACAAGCTGCAAGTGTGAGAGGTGGGTCCAACAAAGATGCAGAGGCTCACCAACACATGAGCCAACCTCGTGGGGCTACACTGGGGCGTGCCAGGACATGCCCTCCCAAGTAAAAGACAATTGTACCCTATACCTCCTACCACAATGCTTCTTTGAATTCTGGACACAGCATATTCCATATTTGGGAATGTTGCTCCCATCCATTCATTCAGCAACAAGGACTGTCACCTCTGAATGGGGTGCAGATCAGGGAAGGGGTCCCTAAGCAGGCCTGGCAGGCAGTGCAAGCAGCAGCACTGTTGCCTGAGCCAGATTACCTGACACACATGCTGTTTGCCACTTCTATGCCTTTCACCTCTGCATACGGATTGTTCCTTCGTGCTGAACTATTACGAATGAAAAACTAGGTTTTTGGCATATTCAGCAGGTTACAAAACAATTGGTAGAATATGATTCAATTTTTTGGGTTAAAAATTATTAAAAGGTATGTGTATGAAAGTGCAAAATGTAAAAAATAGTCATCTTTGTGTGGTATAATCATGGGGTCTAAATTGCTTTGTCCTTTTTTTCCTACAAATCACATGCGAAATGAAGAAATTAAAAAAAAAATCTTAAAATATCTGTGAACACATCTCTTACTTTCCCTGACAAATTACATTCCATCCGCCCCAGTTTATATGTTTTTCTATTATTGCAGGTAACATACGAAAGTTTTCCCTATTGATTATAAGTCAATAATCAATAATCTCTCTCTTTTTATGCTATCCAATTACTCTTTACTATATGTAACAGAGCCAATACAACTTGAGAAAAATTTCCCAAACATAACGAGAAAAAGTTATATCAAATTCAAGATCAACTTTCAAATCTGAGTTCCAATCTGAAGAAAACTGTAGGTCTATATGTTCTAGTTCTAAATTACGTTTAAACGGCTTTTAAAAATTCATGTGAATTGGTTTTTCACCTTTAGTAGTGAACTTGGTGTAAAAGAGCATTGGCAGCTCTTGTCACGTCTGTTGAAAGACCAACCATTAAAGTACTCCTTTTTACCTTTTTGTGATGTTGGGACGGCGGTTCCCTCTCTTTGACTCCTGTGCACAGACACTTGTTTGCTGCTACCCTCCTTTGCTTTCCGGGGGCTCGGTCCCTGCGTCCAGATGGTTTTCTGGGTGACTCCAAGAATACATCTAGGTCGCACTGTTTTCTTTTGATATTGAAGCCCCCATCTCAAACTGGGCTCAGTCTTCAAGCACGCTTTGTTAAGCACAATGTGGGGCAAAAGCAATCGCTTTGCCGAGGACCTGTGCAGCTTCTCCGTATACTGTATGGCTCGTAGAAAAGTACAAATCATGTTCACAGAAAATCGTTCCGCTTAGGGACAATGCTAACTACAATTAGGAAAGTTTTTGGGTTCACTACACATCTGGCCGGACACGTACTGAAACCTATACGTTTACATTACATGGCGTGTTAGGCAAAAACGTTGGCTTCAGCAGCGTAAATGAAAACGAAAAATCTCCAGGGAGAACCTGATGTCTACCTTCCCTTCTGTCTCCTTTCTCTTTGAATCAACACGCTCTGATTACCTTCTCGGCTGACATTCACAGTGTCCCCGCCATGTCTTCGCAAAGTCACCTGGGAAACCCCCCGTCTTCCTGGGAATAGTAGTTTGAAGACCTCGCTCTTAACTGGGATGCGGCAATGGGGCGCGCACAAGAGACTACATCTCCCACAATTCAAGGCGGCCAGAGCACGGCGCAGGCCGTTCCCGCGCCCCCGGGCGCTTCCGTGCTCAGCGCCTGCGCAGACGCTGCGCGTCCTTGGCGAGGCGGGAAGGCGGGGGGTAATTGGTACCACAGACCCTACGTAATTCAAGCGGGACTTGCAAAAGCCAAATTAGCAGTTACACACTACGTGTTTTCCTTATCCTTCTAGAGTGGACTGTGCACAGTGGGAAGTACACCCTCTGACTGTGGTCTTTTCCATTCCGCGTGGGCAAATGATTTCGTTTTTGCATTTCACTGTGTTTTCAGAAAAGCCGGACAATAAAGAGACAGCAAGTGGAGATGAACGAGGCCGCTGCAAAGCAGGCACCGGTTTCCTAAATGGTTAAGCCGAGGACTTGCTTAGCGCCCTTGGTGGCAGAATGTAGGGGTGGGGAAGGAAGTTTGTAGGACCCGGAAGTTTCTAGAAGCCCGCTTTCCGGGCAGGTGTCTGGCGCGGTGCCGTCTGCGCACGCGCCAGGCCAGCGGTACTTTTGTGAATTTGCGCATGGGCGTAAGAGGGTGTGGCGACGCGCGGGCGTGGTAGCGGTGCGTGCCCTCCTCTTTTCAGCTCTTGAGCGGTCTTGTGGTGAACTCGTCTCCATGGCGACTGGACGCAGTCGGATCTTGCAGCAGCACTGGCTCGGCCTCCAGACGCTGCGCGGGCCCAGCAGGGGCGGTGGCGCGGCCCGGGGGCGCGCCAGGACCTTTGGGTTCAGGTGACTGTAGTGCCTGCGGGTGGGGTCCGCTGGCGGGAAGCCCCTCACTGCGCGGCCCCACTCTGTTCACCGTGTATTTTATTCGCCCAGCTTGGCACAAGGCTCGCGGCCCTCTTCAACGTGAGAGGGGTCTGGAAGAACGACTGGAGGAAATCCTTTCTACCCTGCAATGTGGGGTTCCCTAAGTTGTGACACAAGTAGAGTAGCCTCTCAGGGAAATATTCTTTCTCGCGGCGCCTGTGGCCGGGGATACGCTCACTTGCCAGGACAGGTGCAGGTCCAAGAGGTTGCTTCTCCGGGATGCGTGCCATAGATTCACGTGTGCTCCGCCCCTGCCTTCGTATTTTCGCTCTTCTGTAACCAAGAATCTCCCTTCGTATTTTTCATGACCTTACAACTTAGGGAAGTAGAGTCTGCTTATCAAAACCTTATAAATTTACACCCTCATCCCCCAAGCAGATACCTCTGGCAGGCAGGTTGGTCTGGCGGGTGGGGGGTCAGCACTTTGTGCACCTCCAACATCAAGGCCAAGTTGCCATCTACATCACCAGGTCTTGCTCAGCTCCTAGTCCCATTCTGCCTGTCTTCCTGTCTACATGCAGGAGCCTGTAGTATACTTATTCTGCTCCCTAGAGGCTCGTCTCTCCATTTCTCTTGGGGTTTCCTGGAACTGAAGTGTAGTCCTCTCCTACAGTGAGAGAGAAGGCAATTTTGAAGACTTAGGAAAGGAGCAGGAGGCTGCATCTGCTTTCCAGAAGCATCTTCAGCGTGAAGAAGTAAAATGATCCAGTGCATCAGAAGTGTCAGCATGCATAGTGGTACCTTATGAAATCCCTCTCATTATATCGTGAGCTGTTCCCTAGCTGTGGACTCATCTCTGCAGTTAGTTTACAGATGGAAGGATAATGCTAAGAATGGTTTACATTCTTGAGGATTATCTTTCTGCTTGTAAGACTCCTTGATTTATAAATATGGAAAGTCATATATGTTTTGCCTTCTAATAAATCAGTGGTGTATGTTTTAAGCATACAAAGGGAGTCTATTACATACTAGTTGAACTACTTGTTTTTTTCCCCCAGAACTATGTCCTCACTAGGTCTCCATTACTTCCACTTAACTGTTTTCAGAAGCCCATCCCTGTTGCTTAGTGCTATGATAATAGTTCTTAATTGAATACCTATAATGCTAGACATACCACAAGCCTTGTCACAAATAGAATGGTCACGGTGCCTGCAAAAATTGTTTTATGTAGGAGAAAAAGCAGGAATTTAAATAGGAAATTTGAACTTTCAATAAATTTGCTGCTGTTACTAAAATTAGTCTTTACATAGTGCTCTATTGGGGGAAGCAGAATGATTTTTATATGATGAATCTCATCCTTTGTAAGTTGAGTGAATTTCCTGGATTGATATAATTAGAGGGCCTGTCATCATGCCTGGAATGGGAACCTGCATTTCAAGCTGATTTGGAAATGTATGCATTATTTTTGGTAAGGAAAAGTCTGCTGCTAAAAATAGAACAATTGACTATGGTCAAAGCAGGTGGTTATTTTAATGTCTTGCTGTGGAAAATTAGATGTTGTTAAGGAATTAGTGTTCCCTTTTTAACACAAAATATGAATAAGTATAACTATCACAAACTGTAAGAAGTGTAGCAGAAAGCATATTAAGTTGGCTTAATTTGTACCTGGTGTAATTTGTTTGATGTGCCAGATATTTAAAATGAAGCACAGTCTTTAGGTTTTTAAAATATTGGACTTATTCAAAGCTATCACTTGAAAGAAAGTGTTTTCAAACTAAATTTATCTTGCTAAATGTATCAGTGTATGTCTGCACTTAACCTTATAGACATACAGATCTGTATAGAAACATAAATGGAATTTGCTGATTTGTTAATTCTGTGGCCCTTAAAAGTGTGCAATTGGGGCCAGGTGCGGTGGCTCACGCCTTTAATCCCAGCACTTTGGGAGGCTGAGGCGGGCGGATCACAAGGTCAGGAGATCGAGACCATCCTGGCTAACACGGTGAAATCCCGTCTCTACTAAAAATATAAAAAAAATTAGCTGGGCGTGGTGGCGGCGCCTGTAGTCGCAGCTACTCAGGAGGCTGAGGCAGGAGAATGGCGGGAACCTGGGAGAAGGAGCTTGCAGTGAGCCAAGATCGTGCTACTGCTTTCCAGCCTGGGTGACAGAGTGAGACTCTGTCCTAAAAAAAAAAAAGAAGTGCAGTTGGTTTATTTTATGGAGAAATAGAAATGTGTTTTCAATAGTGTTAAAAGGTACATTGATGAGATGTATGATCTTATATAAGACATGGTAAAGAGAGCTCTGACAGGACATTAAGGAGATGGGGGTCTCAGAGACTGTCTTTGCTTCTAGCTGGTGACCTTACGTCCCTCTAGTTGCCTTGTTAGAGCCTTAGTCTTCTAAACTGAAATGAGGGACTCAATGAGATCCATTTTAATTGTGAAAAAACAAAACAGCAATAAATAAGCTTTGACGTTTTAACAATGTGAAAACGTGTGTTATGAAATAGCGTTCATATTCCAATTAAATAAAGGATGAAGTGTCTTAAAGCACTTATATGTTACCTTGTGCAGAGTGTATGACTAAGAAGTATTTGTAGAATTGACCCAACTAAGCCCTGTTCAATGTTGTAGTCAAAGATAGAGGCATATCCATTCGTTACTGAATTAGGGTTTCAGATTAGGGAAAAGGATTTGGTACTTAAAAAAATTAACTAGTACCAAACAGGATTTATTTGCTTAATCATTATTTTAAACTATCTTTGAATGGGGAGAGTTACAGCATGATTTTAAGGAAGTTACTAAGATAATTTTATTTACATATATTTTATATGCATATATATTTACAAAACAGGTGACTTTATTTCATTGACGTTTTCACAGTAATCTTTCATAAATTTGGGACACACTTTACTGAAAAGTTAAGATTTTCAGTAAGAACTTGGTGGTGGATTAAGCCAGTATGTATTCTTGAAACATCTAAGCACCCTGGCACTGTGCTTTTCAAATGAGTAGTTGTAATGGGTAGGGGATACGTAGAGCATCTTCTTTGTCTGCAAAATCAACACAAAGGCTTTGGGAAAATGTTAAATAATTTAGCTGGTAAATAATATAATATATTTTTATGATAGGACAAAGACAGATAAATTATTTGGTAGAATGCAATGTTTGCTTTAATTTTTAAGATCAATTGGGAGACTTCTAAGAAGTTTTGAGTTTGCTGCAGACTGTACCCCCAGATTTCAGGGGGCCTGGTTTCAATTCCTTTGCAGGGGTACTGTTGCTAGGAATGCCTTTGAGAACCACTGCTGCAGTCTCAAGGATTGTGCTGTCGAACTGTGATTCCCTGGCCTTCTTGTGCATGTGACTCTTCGGTTTGAAATTAAAACAACACCCCCATCCCCCAACTTATTACGGATTCAATATGCTAAGAAAAATTAGAAAATACACGGAGTTGTGCCCCCTAAATCTTCCCCATTTAAAAAGACCTTCACCAACAACATTTGTAATCCTATGAATCAGATCTATTAAATGGTATACCTTGGTCTCTCTAGACCTCTTTTCTTTGTATGCATATATTTTCATTTCCTCTTAGAGAAATACAAAAATAAGTTTATATATTAGGTTGGTGCAAAAGCAATTGTGGTTTTTGCTACTGAAAGTAATGGCAAAAGCCACAATTACTTTTGCACCAACATAATAGTATCTACTGATATAACCTGCTTTCTCAGTTAGTTATACTGTTAGTGATTCAGCCGATATTTATGAATGCTGCTTGCACGCCAGGCGTATTGTGGGTACTGAACAATCAGCAGTGACCAAACCCATGCAGTATACCTGCCCATGTTGTTCCAGCGATAGTAAGCAAGACAGACAGGTAAAATGTATAGTGATGGATGGTGATGTGTGCTAAGGAGAAAAACAGAGAAAGGGCACAAAGTGCATGTGTGTGTGACAGAGGGTGGGGTGGGGACTGGATTGCATTTTAAATAGAATAGCCAAGGAAGGTCTCAGTGAGATGGTGACATTGTCGTCAATGGCTGAAGAAAGTGAGAGAGCAAGCCATATAGACACCTGGAGGACATCAGGGACCTATTTCTAATTCAAACACTTAACCTGAGTTGAAAATCTATATTTTAATTGACTAAAGGTTGTTAACTCTGTGGAGGCCATGCAATTTAACCAATCCCTATACTGTTCTGAGTTTTTTTTTTTTTTTTTTTTTTTTTTCCCCCAGTGCAGACAACTCTGAGATGGACATTCTTGAGTGAACTATCTGTGCACATTTCTAGAAGTGGAATTCCTGGCTTAAAAGAGCGTATGTGTTTTTTAAGGATCCCGGTTTCCAATATCAGATTTGGCTTTCCATAACGTTTGTACCACTGTGTCTTGTCTTACCGGTAGTAAGTGAGGATGCCTGTTTCTTTGTAACATAGCCAGCATGAATCATCGTCATTTATTTGGTTTTTGCCAATTGCTAGATTAAAATTGATCCATCAGATGGATTTACTTTTCTTTGGTTCTCTTGGAAAGGCCTAGGGTAACAGTTTTTATTTTTCTGGCATCTTATTGAGAAAATACATAATGACAACAAGCTGTTACTGATTCGGTAAGAAATATATTTATTTAATATCTTAAATAAATTTATATTTGATGAACTACAAGAATATTTATGTTTGAAGTATATACATATCATTATTCATATGATGCTTAGGGTATGTGTGGACTCAGACTCTAGTACAGCCAAGCCCCACCCTCCCATGGGGTTAAGGGTTACAGGTTTGGAGCTCCTGATAGGAATTGTTATTATTTGATGGAGGAATGATAGAAATTCCCTTTATTCAAAGCTTAAGTGTTAGAATCCTTTGTCAATTGTAGATATTTTATCCTTGAATATGTAGCATAAGTCAATATAGACTTTATAAGAATAATAACCATTTAAAAATAAGTCATGCTTTTAAATAATTTTAGAATGTGTTACAAATTTTGTTTACTGTGTTGACTAGTGACAGTAAACAAAGTGTATTATACCTTCTAAAAGTGATCTGTGTCCACCTGGAACCCTAGGATGTGACTTTATTTGGATATAGGGTCTCTGCAGGTGTAATTAGTAAAGATGAGGTCATACTGGATGAGGGAGAGTCCTAAGTGCAATATGAATGATGTCCTTATAAGAAGAGGCACAGAGACAGATATGCCCAGAGGGAAGATTGCTCTGTGAAGATGGAGGCAGAGATTGGAGTTATGCTGACACAAACTAAGGGATACCAGGGATTTCTGGCAACCACCAGAAAAAGGAATGATCCTCCCTAGAGCCTTCAGAGGGAGTGCAGTCCTGTTGACAATGTGAGTTTTGGACATCTGGCTACTAAGACATGAAACAATACATTTCTGTTGTTCTGAGTCACCCAGTTTGTGAAGGCAGTCTTAGGAAACGAATGCAATTAGAAAATGATATTTTACTTCTGATTACTATTTTAGGACCACATTAATGGAGCCTAAGCTTTTCTTCTGTGGAAATCTGTGTTAAAACAAAATTTCCGACAGAAGTACAAAAATACATAACACAGGCAGAATTATCTGATTAAAGGAAGAGAGGGTATTGCAGAAATTTCCAAATTAGCATTTCTTCCTGTCATTTCTCCCTGTCTTCCTGCCCTGCAGAGCACAGATTGAAAACAATTGGCTAGAAAGTCGTATAAGACCAAAAGTACATTAAGCACCTTTTACTGGAGCTGGAATGGAAGGGCGTGTGGAGCCAGCATTTTTTTCCTCGGGGCATTTTTACTCTTCCAGGATCTGGAAAAGTTTACCTTATGCAACTTCTTCTTTGTTGAGATGCCAGTGGGGCAGCTGATCACTAGTATTCGTGGAGGGCCTACCCTGTACCAGCTACTGTGCTTTTTTCTAGAGAGAAAGATCTACAAAGGGAAGAGGAATTTACTCTGTGGCTGCTCGGAAGCATGTGGGGAATCGTGCAGGGCAGGCAGGTGCCAGGGGGTGCTCTGAGTGCCTGCTGGCATATGCATATCGTGATGCTGTCTCGCGGTAGGCTCCAGGCTGCACTATCACCTGACCAGCTGAGGCCTGGGCAAGGGCTCCTTTTTCACCACTTGTGTCATCTAATAGGTTGTGCTTAGAGTTGAGGGTCATCCTCTGTTAAGACCAGTTGTGTGTGGATTTCATACTTCAGCTTTCTTTCAAGTTCTTAGGACACCTCTGTTTTGCTCCCAATTGTTGCCCTCCTCTATGAATGTTCTTTCAAATATATCTGGGGAATTCACCTGGTATGAAAAACTGAGGGTGGTCACTGCACAAAATACGTATTCGAAGCAATGGTGTTGGTGAACTGAGCGTATATGTAATGTACCCTCTAGGATTTAGCCACTTCTCAAATAGCACACCTAGAAGGAGGTGCGTCAATAACCAATACCTGTGTGTTGTACGTTGCTTAAAGCAGAAGCTTCCAAACCTTTCCTAGAGAAATAGTGTAACTGCTCGTGACTCTCCAGGTGTGCTGTTGCCTAGACATGGAGGCTGTGAGCTGCATGATTTTCTGGTGTTTCGGATTCCCTCAAGGTGCTGTTGAGTACTACTGGTTTTGAGGACTGATCTTAATAAAATTTATTTTAGGAACCTCTGAAAAAGACTCGCTGCATAAAAATATTATATGCTATTTCATTGAATCTATAAAACCATTGATTCTAAGATGTACTACTGTTTTCTGTACCACTAAAATAAAAAGATGGCCAGTGAGGTTACAATGTAAAAGTCTGTGGATGAGTATTTGGTAGTTTGTCTATGACTGCAAAAACTAGAGTTGGAACCCTCAAAGATCAGAAAAGTTGTAGGTTATGTTGACAGTTCTAGTTCACTAATTTCAAGTTTTTTTTTTTTTAAAAAAAAACCCTTTAATGGTTTCTCTTATATCCAAATTGGCCAATCAATACACTAACTTTATCCTTTTTGTTTCCATTAAATGTATCTGATAGCACCTCTTTGATATGTTGAAAGCCTATAATAAGAGCATATATTTCTAAACCTCAGGGTGAAAGCACATCAGAGTAAGTACGGTCTTCAGGTTTCCTTACCAGGACACTAAAGGTTTCACTGTCTCTTCTTTCCTTCTCCCTCCCTTTCTTCCTTACTTACCATCTTTCCTTCCTCCATTTCTCTTTTTCTTTGCAGAAATGGAGTTTTTCAATGAGTAATCTTTGGAGTTTATGAATCCTTTGGAATTCTGTAGAAGGGAATAGATAATTCACCTCCTTTGATAATTACATAATTTGAATTTCCCACATTTACTTTCAGAAGGGGGCCAGGGGTCAAGTTTTCTGCAGGCTCTGCTGCCCTGAGGTGCCATGCCAGAGGTGGACGGCACTGGGAGAGCTCTTTCTCCTGCTGTTCTGGGTTCCTGGATGGGTAAGTAGCAGAAGTAGACTATCTCTTTTGGGGGCCTCTAGGCATGGGGTTATTAGAGAAAGTTATGATGCTGTATATACCAAGTTGCTATTTTGAGCTTGCTAAGAATAGGATTGTGTGGGAAGACAGTACAGCATGGAGCGTTTCATGAGTCATGGGCCTGTCACCACTATCCTTATGAGATGAACTTTATGAAACGAAACTTCAAGAAGTGACAAGTAAATTGAATTTCCCTTTTATTAAAATGTTCTTCAAAAATATTCACTTTTGAGTTGATAAAGACCCTTGAAAAAGGAGAAAGAAGATTAAAGTGTGTTTTCCTGAAAGCTCAAGAGCTCTGTTCATTTCTCAGCTTTCAATATCTGGGAGCCCATTTGCCATGGCAAGATTCTGTACTGTGACCCTCAGCACCAAGATCCACAGAAGCTTTAAAAAATTATTATGTGTAATTGATGCTCAGAAGTCCATAGATTTGTACTGTAGTAACATTTGTGGAACACCAATTATATGCTAAGCATCGTGGGGAGCCCGAAAGCTTGAGACGATCACAGAGACATTTTCCACTGCAGGAAGCCTGGCCCACATAGTCTGCATATTGCAGAACTGTGTGATTCAGACATAAGTTGCCTGATTTCAAGTTCTGGGCTTTTAACACTGTATCATAGCTAGCTCAGCTAACAATGTGTGTATCTGTATACAAATTTCAGTGTGTTTTAAAAAAGAAAAAGCAAAAAGGATTTTTAATTCAGGTCATTAATTTCAGCTTAAAACCCTAGCTCTGGGAATAGGCTGTTTTACAGTCATCTGATATGAGAAACGGAGCAAATATTCATTTGGTTAGTCCATCCATTAAATATTTGAGGACCTGCTCTGTAGCAGATACCGTTCTTAGTACTGGGACACAAATGGTGAGCCCCTCACATGTTCTCACGAAGCTGATGGTTAGTTGGGGAGGCAGATTTAAAATACAGTGAGTTGGGATACCTGTTGTCGAGAAAACAAATGGATCCCCAAATCCAGAATAATGGGGTGGCGTGGTGAGGAAAGACTTATTTGAGGAGGTGCATTTAAGATGAGAACTGAACATTGAGATTCGAGAGCTACGAGAGGAGCTTGCCAGTGAGGGGAGACCAGAGGTGTGGTGGGGGCTCCAGCTGCTACAGGAGCAGTGTTGGGGGAGCCCATCAGGCTTGGCTACCAGGCTCTGGGGAAGAGGGTGGATGTCATGTAATTTCCCAGATTATCTTGTTTACTTATTTACCTCTCTTCTCTAGAATGCAGAGACACAGGCAAGTGGCAGATATATTTGGAGGCATAGCTGACATGGTTCGTTTATGAATTAGATGTAGGTGTGAGGGGGAAACAGACAAGTAGGAATCCGAAGCTGTTGGCTGAAGCAGTAGCACAGATTGAAGTGCTGTTAGCTGAGATGGAAGAGAGGTGGGGTCGGGGCAGAAGAGAGGGCCGTGATGGTGACTTTGGACTGGTTACAGCTGAGATGTCTGGGATGCGTTCAAAGGAGGATGCCAGATCGATTATGGATGTGTCAGTCTGGCTCAGGATGAGGCCTGGTGGGGTTAGCAGTCATGGAGCTGGGTGAGGTGCTTAGGGAAAGGGTGGGGAAGGGAAGGCAAAGGTGACTCAGGAGCAAGCTTGGAAGACCCGGGGCAGTGAGAACCAACCAAGCAGGCCAGGGAAGAGCCCTGAGGTCCAAGAAATTGAGGAGAGGCTGTGTGTGAAGCAGAGGAGGAGACAGCCTGAAACACAAGAGCAGTAAGTGGCCTGCGGCCTGGGAAGACAGGGGGAGGAGGCAGCAGGGCATGGTGGCCCCTCAGAGCTGTTGCAGGTGAATGCAAGGGAAGGGGCTGGCCACTCATTTTCATATTTGTGTGTGTTCTATTCCACACTGAAATGTAAAAAGCAAAAAAGGGGGCATGGAGGTGGAGGCAACAGGTGTAGGCAACTGTTTTGTTTTCTTTTGTTCTTTCCCAGAGCTTGGCAGTGCGAGGGAGCCTAGAAATTAGGTGGTGGCTCCAGAGAGATCGGGGTGGGGAGAAGCAAAGGAAGAGTGTGGTTTAGGATGAGAGATTTGGGGTGATTCAGAGGCTCATATCAATAGTGTGGAAGAGGGAGGCAGGAACTGGAGACTGAGGTCCTTGTGCAGAAACCGTGAGGACCTAGAGCACAGGTGCTTGGATGCAGGGAAGTGAGCATTCTCCATCGGAATGGGGAAGACAGTGAGGAAAACAGGAATATTGGGATAGATCCACAATGTGAAGCAGGGACAAGGACGTGTTCACATTTGAATTCCCACAGTACTGAAAATGAACATGCACAAATTAACATTCTCAGGGAAGCTCGTTGGTGCAAAGCAGTTTCTTTGTTCTACATTTTGAACGGCCCTGCCTCTCACCTCCCCTTTCCCTTATCTCCCTATCATCCTCTCTTCTTACGCCATACAAAGTGAAATAACTAGAATCCAACAGAAAGTAATCCAATATGGTTATAAACGTTGATTGTACTAGGTTAGAAGAAATTGTTTGAACAATGATTAAGAAGGTATTCTATCTCCACTGTCTTAACTATGAAGTAGAGATTTTCTCCTTTTGCTAGGACACAGAGAAACCCCCTTTTCATTAGGTTAGTCCAGTGGGGAGGAAGGTGAAAACCTGCTGAATGCCTGTCTTGAGTGGGATTTTATTCCAGTTAAATAATTCTGGTAGTTGCTGGATACTTTTCTGAAATGTCGTTAAGCCCAGCTCTGGTTTTTTTTTTTTTTTTTTTTTTTTTAATTGTACTGATTTAAAAAATAATAGATAGGAAGTTTTGGGAAGTAGTTAAATCAAAATATGAAAATTATATGCAATGAATAATCCAAATGGTCACAAAAATGTTTTCTTGCAACTGTGCTGTCTCTAGCATTAGAGACTTTTTCTCATTGAAAGTATCTAATTTATTGACTCTGAATGGGAGGGATTTGATTTGGGGGAGTGATCTAATTAATGCTTAAGCAAAGCTTTTTGTTTAAACTCTCAGAACGTCTCTGGTTAACTGTAGCTGGGGCTTTGAGCAGTGGGGACATTTACATGGTGATACATATCCAACAGGCATGGCGTTAACTGTCTTTTTTCTGAGAATCTGCTTTTTTCCTTCTCAGTACTATCAGGATTATGGGACTGATAACCTGTAACCTGATTTTCTTGAAAAAGAAACAAATTTAAAATCATAACAATCACAAGTAGACAGTATGGGCAAGCCCTTTTAAATTGGACAAAAGATTTCTCCCCTTACTCCTTTATCCCTAGAACTGCCCGCCACCAACCCTTGATACAATCTGTGGTAGCTCTCTTGCTCTCGTCACCTGCCCTTTTGCTGAAGATTCATAGAGGCACACTCCTGACTTCTTGACACTAGTGATACTTTCTAGTCACTTTCAGATTATTACTGTGTTTTATAGAATTTTGAGGTCATAGAAATAGGTGGAGTATAGAGACTACATCTCAATATCATATTTAGGCATACAAATAAAACAGACACTTCAGAAAAAATTTATGGCCCTTGGTGTCTCCTTGAAGCCCCAGAGGAAGCAGTCAAAAGCCCAAGGGTGCTCAGAAGGCGACGCCTGGGATTGGTGTGGGCGAGGTCGGAATAAGCTGGTATTTCCCATTATACTTAACTTTTCTGGGGAAAGGGATTCTTATTAATACCTACGAATATGTTCTCTGATTCTCTTTATCTCACTAAAGAAACATACGTAGTTTAGTCCAGGTTTGGTGGTAACATGGTGAAACCACACAAAAAATACAAAAAATTAGCCAGTCGTGGCAGCATGTGCCTGTAGTCCCAGCTGCTGGGGAGGCTGAGATGGGAGAATGGCTGGAGCCCAGGAATTCAGGACTGCAGTGAGTCCTGATCATGCCACTGCGTTCTAGCCTGAGTAACAGAGCAAGACCCTATCTCTACAAAAATAATAATAAAAAAATACATAGTTTCAGGGGGGACACTGAAATTCTGCCTGTTGATTCACGGTGTATGAACATGATTAAAATGCGGGGAAGTTAGCTCTTCCAACCCTTGACTCTATTTATGGTTTATGTCATGAGAATTAGAATAACCAGAAAATTTCAATAAAGAAAATAATTGAAGATGAGGGTACAGTTTGCCTTTTGTACAGGAGGAGTCTGTCTATGGCCTTCTATTTAGAGATGAGCAGCCAGTTGTTTTCTGGGTAATCTGTAGATTAAGCCCTGGTCCACTCTGGTGATTTGTTTTTCCTTTTTCTGTTTTTGCAGAATGCCTTCAGAAATCTTGCTGAAAATATTTTCCTACTTGGATGCTGTGAGCCTGCTGTGTGCTGGATGTGTGAGCAGGCGCTTTTATCATCTAGCCAATGACAAGTAAGCAAAAATCCAAGTCTCTGTTATGTTTTGATGACAGTTTGATGGAAGTCAGGAAGATTAGTAACTTTTTAACCATTTTTAAGAATTTAAGAGAATTCAGGAGTATTTTTGCACAAGTGGAAATGTCGAATGCTTTAACTATGAAATTTTCAAATATTTGCATTTATATGCTTAAAATGAATATACTTTGCATGGAACAAAAAAATCAAACTTGTTATTGCTGTAGCTGTTAGAGAATGCAGCTTCAGGTCTGTTGTCAGGAGGTCCTGGCTGTATTCCCCACAGAATCAGACCAAATCACAGAGTCTCAGGCAGCACTGGAGGGACCTGCTGGCTTTGATCCTGGTGCTTCGTTTGTAGAGCAGAATGAGTGCTTTCTGCTGATGGCCAAGCAGATTCTAAAGAAAGAGAAGGAAGAGGCTAAGTTAGGTGTACTTAGCTTCTCCTCCCAAACATGCCAATCAAGTTAACTTACTCTGTGGGGAGAGCAAAGTGGACAGAGAGCGGCCAAGACTGTCCTCTCCTGGAGGCTGTACCCTTGGAAGCAGGGAGTCAAAAGTGAGGGATTCACCTGTGGTCATCTGGGCTTGCAGGGGGCAGATCTAGGAAGGAAGGGGAGAAGCCTCTGCTTCTGTTTGTCACTGTAATCTTAGCCTGCATCTCAGAATTATATCTTGGAGGGAGAGATGGTGAAGTCTTCCTTTCAGCGAGGATTTCGTGGCCTACAACAGAATGTCTTGGCTTTTTAGGCCCCTCTCTCATTCAGCATCAAAAGATCAGACAAATATTGTTCCTACATAGAACCTACATGTCAGTTGGGGAAATCAGCAAGATGAGAGGGAATGCAGGTTTTAACTGGTGGTTTTGTTTACTAGGTAAGGAGATGGAGAATGGCAGAAGGAGGGCTGTCATATTAGTTAACCCTGGAACATGGTGGACAAGAATGTCATTTGGTGCAGTGGTTCTCAAATGCCATCCAGAGAAGACTACATATGAACCACCTGGGAAAGTTTAAAAAATTTCCATCCCTAGTCTGCATTTCTAGAGATTATAATTTAGTGCTTTGAAATCTGTATTTAAAAAATTCTCTGGTTGGGTGCGGTGGCTCATGCCTATAATCTCAGCACTTTGGGAGGCCGAGGCGAGTGGATCACAAGGTCAGGAGATAGAGACCATCCTGGCTAACATGGTGAAACCCCATCTCTACTAAAAATACAAAAAATTAGCCGGGCGCTAATGGTGGTGGGCGCCTGTAGTCCCAGCTACTCAGGACTTGGGAGGCTGAGGCAAGAGAATGGCGTGAACCCGGGAGGCGGAGCTTGCAGTGAGCCGAGATCGTGCCGCTGCATTCCAGCCTGAGCAACAGAGCGAGACTCCGTCTCAAAATAAATAAATAAATAAATAAATAAATAAAAAATTCTCCAGGTCATACTAATGAATAGTCAAGTTCTGAAATGACTAATCTAGTCCATCTTTGATGTTAGGTGTATGCCACTTAAGTGAGGAACTCAGAATAAGCCCTCAGATCTCATTAAAGCTGTCCTCAACCACTGTCGTACTCTGAAGAGGACATACACTGTTCCCTAGTTGGAAAGGTGATTTTTCTTTTAATTTAAAGAGATGTTTCCTGTATGGAAGAATGTACGTCTGTCTATGTCAATACGTGCGCGTGCGCGCGCACACACACACACACACATATCAATGAATGAACTAATAATGTTCTTCACAGTAGTTACACAATGAATTAGAGCAATTTATACATTTCCCTTTCTTAATGATTGTTGTAGTTTACATAGTTGAGATTTGTTTGTTTTACCAAGCCTCATGTGGAAATTTGATCCCCAGTGTTGGAACTGGGGCCTAATGGGAGCCGTTTGGGTCATGGGAGCAGATCCCTCCTGAATGGCTTGGTGCCTTCCTTGTAGTTCTTGCTCTAGAGCTGGTTGTTTAAAAGAGCCTGGCAGACCTCCCTTCCTTCTCTCTTGCTCACTCACTCTATTTCTCTCTCTCTCTGCCATGTGATCTCTGCACAGTTGGCTTGCCTTGGTTTTCTGCCATGTGTAGAAGCTTCCTGAGGCTTCACCAGAGGCAGATACTGGTGTCGTGCTCTTTGTACAGCCTGCAGAACTATGAGCCAAATAAACCTCTTTGCTTTACAGATTACCCAGCCTCAAGTATTCCTTTGTAGCAACACAAAGAGACTAAGACAATGATCTAATAAGAGATGAAGGTGGTCACTAAAAGAAAGCACAGCAAGGCATTTTTCAAGGAAGGAGTCAACCAAATGTCTAAAACTGTAGCATTCTGGGGGGTTCCCACTTTATTTAATGGTAGAATTCAGACTCTTCAGATAAGTTAATAAATTGTATATTTCTTAGTTTCTTTACTGTCTCTGCTCTTCACTTCACCTGCATAGTGAAGAAACCAGGCCTGGAATCAGATTTGGAGCACAGCTGTAGTGATGTTTTTTGCATACTTTTAGGATTACTCGTGTGTCCTCCTCACTTTCTTGGAAGTTGCCGTTTGGAAATATGAGCTTCTGATGAAATTGCACTCACATTTCTTTTCTTTTTCAAAGGACATATTTAATTGTGCTTAGTTGAGTTGCACTTTTTAGGTCCTGCTAAAGGACCTAAAGAGGCATAGTCTGACTCTTAAAGTCAACGTCTGATCATGAAGTCAGACTACAGAAAAGGATGTGTGATAATTGAACGAGTAATCAATATATGTTTTTGAAAAGTTTACAGTGTGTTCCAAGCGTTGCTTCTGAAGAGAGGGCAAGCACACATAGTGTAGCAAGTTACACTCTGATGACTTGTGGGCAGACATGCTTGAAGGGCAGGGGGCTCCCCAGTGCCACATCCCGGGGGGCTACCCTCTTCTGCATGAGCGCTGGTCTCTGCATGGGAATAACAAGGATGTGTGGATGAGGTGGCATCTGGTTTATCACAAGGGGGTTTTATTTACCATGTACTCTGGCAAACACTATTTATCTGAACATTAAATTGGCCCCATTTTCTAAACAACTTGATTGAGTTTCCCTGAGCCTGTTGGTAGTTATATTGGATAAATATGCTCTTGTCCTCGAATCTGACTAGGCCTTCTAACAGGATGGAGCATTTGGGGATCAAGAAGTAAATATGTTTGAGTTTTTGAGACTGTGAAAGGCATCTGAACCTTAACATTTGTGTATTATAAAAAATCAAGGGGAACCATCTGCAATATAAAATGTTTTTACTTAGGTTCATTTACAGTAAGTAATATATGATCATGTGTGTGAACATAGTTCATCATAGGAATGTTAGGTGTGGTTATTGTTACTAACTTCATGTGGAGTTTATGCTGTGATTCCCATCTCTGCAACAGTGTTTGTTTTTGCAGTTGGTGAGTGCTAACACATGTAAAAATAGTATCAGGGGTTGTTTAGATAGTGCTGATGTGAGGATTCAAGGCTCCATAAAGGTCCTGCTAAAGGAATACTTACATAGAGTGAAATGCTGAGTAAAATAAATGTGAAGAAAACACAAGCAAGCTTTTATGCAAAGGAAGTTTTAAAAGTGTCTATTCAAAGGATTTTGGTGAAACAGTTTCAGCTTTACTTAAATATACTCAACTCATCATCACATTGCATCTATCCGCTTACATAGGAAAGTCTAGAAATTTCTGAATTGAAAACATACTTTAATATAAAAGCTGGGCATGAAGTGATTTTTCGGATTTTTCAGAGAGAGAAATGACTTGAGAAACCCACACTAGGAAGAGAATTCAACCAGGGTCTGACTATGTGTGAGCTTGCATTTGTTGGGAAGTCCATGTAATGTCTGAGTCAAGGAGGTGGCGTTCTGAAGTCATGTTTTTGAGAAATGGTCCTTTTCTGCTGCAGTTAAGGAAATAGTTCTGCCTCCCCAGAGCACCCAGGCTTATCCCCAGGGGTCCTGCTGCAGTTCAGGACCACCACTCTGTGGGAGAATCGCTTTCTCCCTGCAGCCTCCAGGTCATTGACTGCTTCATCCCATGCTGCTCTGAGTAGTAATGTGGAGACATAAATGAGCAGATCATTAATGTTTAAAATGCAAAGTTTGCCTTTCAGGTAAGGAATTGATTTTAATCCCTGACTCAGTTTTCCCCATGTCTTCCTTCTCTTTCCTAGTGGTGGTGGAGAGTACTGGCTGAGAAGGAGGAGCCCTCAGGCCAGCTCACTACCACCACTCGTGGGGCTTCTCCCGGCCTCTTAGTAGAGATGAGTGGAAGGAACAGACTTTGAGTCAGAGCTGAGTTTGAATTCCCACATTGAGGCTTATTGACTCTCTGAATTTGGTGAGCTTATTCAGTTTCTTTGACCCATTTCTTTGTAATTGAAGAGGCAGTGAAACCCAGGTGATAACAGTGCGAGCTATGGTTCAGATCCCAGCTTCACTATACACTTGAGTGCACATACCTGGGCCAGCTCACCTTGCATCTGAGCCTCAGTTACATCATCTATGCAGTGGGAACAGGAATACCAGTAACTCCTGGTTTCTTTGTGAGGAATAAATGAGTAATGTATAATACATAAAGTGGTTAAACAATGCTTGACACATAGTAAGTGTTGAAAAAACTTAATGTTAACTTTTGTTGTTACCATTAAAAATCTTCACTTTTTTTTCCTCTTTGTGAAAGCCTATTCCTTGTTGAAAGTTAAAAAATAGCAAAAAGAATGTACAATTCCATTGTTGCCTATTGAAATTTCTTGGTGTGTGAACATACATCCTTTCTGATCTTTTAAAAAGCATGTATATATTTAAAAACAGGAATCATATTACATATACTTTCTATTACTTTTAAAATAATAGATTTCCTATTCCGTTACTGATAATAAGAGGGCAGTGGTTTTTGGTGGTGTTTTTGGTGGTGTTGAATTTAAAACACTGAATCTGAAACTGCAACTCACTTTAACAGATGAACGTTCAACTGTAAATATTCAGCTTGACTTCTTCATGGAATTGGATTATTTGAGAATATTATGCATCTCTAATTTGATATATTATGACTAAGGTAGGTGACAGTGTCTCTTAGTTAACATATTTCCTCTTTTCCCTCCAGTTTTATTTGGATCAGAATCTACTCAACCGCTTTCTCACCTACAAGATCAAATTGGAGAGTTAATTCAGTAGAGAAGATAGCTGTGTCTGTGAGCTTTCTGTCAGTTCAGGATAAAGAAGCTGGTTATTGGAAGAAAGAATATATCACAAAACAAATAGCATCTGTAAAAGCCGCACTAGCTGACATTCTCAAACCTGTCAACCCTTACACAGGCCTTCCAGTTAAGACCAAAGAGGCCCTCAGGTACGCAGTGTGTTCCAAAAGAGAATGATGGCATCAGCTCAAAGTACCGTGTACATAGAACATATGTGCAGTTTAGATTGTGTGGGGCCATCTCTAGTATTTTTGTGTGTTTTGTGCATCTGTAAAATGTGTAGCATTTTCCTATTCCACCTAGCCTTCTCCATCTGCCAGTTCAACCAATTGCAGATCATAAGTATTGGTGGGGGCGGGGGGAACCTGAAACAATAATGCCAGTATAAAATACAAATAAAACCAGTACATTATACATAGTAACAACAGTTTGCACAGCATTTACATTGTATTAGGTATTATCAGTAATCTCAAGATGATTTAAAGAATACGGGAGGAGGTGCTTAGGTTATCTGCAGATACTATGCCATTTATATAAGGGATTTGAACGTCCACAGATTTTGGTATCACGGGGGTCCTAGAACCAATTTCCTGTGGAGACAGAGGGATAACTAGCAAGTAGCCTGAAGTGTTAATGAAAAGCAGAAGTAACCGACTTGTCTGCTGTAGTACAGTGAGAATGTTCAAGGTCTCTTTTCCGGGCAGAATCTTTGTCTTATTTATATATTGCCAGTACCTGGAAGATCATGGATGTTCAGTGGGTGTTAGGTGAGGAGAAAAAGTCTGAAGAGAGTACTGTTGTTGAAATGAAAATTGAACTGGGCATGTTCTGAGAATTTTGACTTTGGATTTTGAGGAACTAGATGCTTTAGAGAAGATATGTGAAATTGCCTTTAGCATTTTTTTTTTTCCAATGAGGCAAACATTGTTAGTTTTTGTTCTTTCTCCAGAATGTTTGGTTTAGGTTGGGCAATTATACTGAAAGAAAAAAGTGGAAAAGAATATATCATGGAGCATGCTGATCTTTCCGTAAATGACACATCAGTTACTGTTATATGGTATGGCAAAAACTGGCCGTGCCTAGCGTCATTGTCAACCTTAGATTTATGTGGTGTGACACCAGTTTTTATGGACTGGTATAAAACTCCCACCAAACATAGGTAAGTACCAATCAGCAGAACTGTTGAGTGAGAGCATCTTATGTGTAAATATTACTTGGCATTACTTTTGTAATTAAAAAATAAGAGCAGTGTTTTTTAATTTTATCACATATTAAATGTACATTCTGCATTACTGTAGAAGAGGAAAATAATGCATTTTATCCCATTTCTGATTAGGTCTAAATTTAAGTTCCTCATATCTTGGTTGTCTTTAATGGTAGAGAATGATATTCTAGTTAACAACATTTCCTGGATGATTGATGGCTGCTAACCTTTGAGGTTTTTCATTTTAACCATCTTAACAGAAAGATATGTGGTATCTTTCTTCTTTAGTAAATGGAATACTAATCGTAGTCTAAATATGAGGAAACCAAGTCATAATGATCAGTTATTTTGTCTGCCTTCTGTTGAACTTACTAGATATATGATCTTGTGCAAGTAACTTACTCTTTGTATGTCTCCATTCTCTCCTCTCTGAAATAAGATGATCATTATACTGGCATAGTATTTAGCATATATGACTGCAGTGAATAAGACTGATCAAAAGATATCACTGTAGAATGTGTAGATCAGCTAAGTGTGCAGCACACGGGTAATGCTTAGTGAGCCCTTTACTATTCTGTTGTCAGGTGGCTTTGCACTGAGTCCATATTCACTATGAGGCTGGCATCTGCCTTTGAGCAGCTCTCTCAGGCTCTCTTTTTCATCATTGATTGCTTCCTCCTGAAAGCTGGATTATGGCATGCATAGCATCCTCATCTCTGCAGCAAGCTAGCATAGCTTTATATAAGATATATTGCAAATATAAAGGTAATACCTGCCTTCTTCCACATTGGTTTCCTGCCCTCCCAATTCCTTCACTGTCTCAGTATTCTTTGACTTTTCAGGAGTATTTACCATGTCGTTTTCTTACCATCCTTGCATGCTGCAGTTGCACCCACTGGTTTCTCTCCTGTCTGTCCTTGCTATGGAGGATGCTGTGACATCTGACATCAGTGCCTGCCGTCTCCATGGAGGGACAGGGTTCTTTCGTGGTTTCCTTGGATACAGACAGTTTTTTTTTTTCTTTCTTTCTTTCTTTCTTTTTTTTTTTTTTTTTTTTTGCAGCTCTGTAACTGGGGCCCCTGTTTTTGGCTCCTCTCCATGGCGCCTGCTCTTTGAGCATTGTTTTAGTGATTACTGAGCTCTCTTTCCATGCTGTGAATGTAAGACTATTCAGACCTCTTGGTGCTGGCAAATCCAGGTTTTATTGTACTCTAAAAATATTCTTGGTATTATGAGAAAACATGAATTATTTTTCCTGAATATATTACGGAGGATACTTTGGAAACAGTTCTACTTCTTTAAAAAATTGTACTTTTATTTGGATAAATCTTTGAAATTTCTTGTGGTATCATGAAGGAAGTCAGCTTTTTCTAATGTGGCAATTAGGCTTTATGCATTTCAAAATTACGTTTGGAGAGTAAGTCCACAAACTGTACTAGTTTTGCTAAACAGTATGTTACATGGCATATCATGAAATGTTATTTACAGATATTAGGACAAAATGGCTAACGCTAATTCAAATGATCCTGAAGAATTAAGTTAAATGGCTAACGTTGAGTTCTAAAGCTCAGTTAAAGACAGTATTTCTCTGAAATGGTCATCAAGGTCAGAAGTAAGAGATACTACATACTGCCAAATGCTAGAGTTCGTTGGGAAAATTCATTTGATGTAATTTATTTCCATGGGACTTCAATGGACTTCAGCCAGCCTTTGATAAACCGCGATAAACAAAACTAAAAGTGTTTTTTAGGAATTTGTTTTGATCGGCACTTTTATTGCAAGTTTGTAACTGAAGCTTTCATCATGCAGGAATATAAATCCTTGTATGCGTCTGTGTGACAGCCCAGAAGAGACTCTGTGGTTTTTATTTGGGTCTGTCTTGTTTCCTCTGTGAGAAGTTTTTCAACAACAGTGAAAGCCTTATTGATGTAATTTGGATTCCCCTGTAATTTATACCTTTCTAGTCAGACTCTCAATTTTCTTCCTTGCCAGCATTTTCTGCTCTGCAGCTTGTGCTGTCCCACCCTAAATTTGTGACAACTGTTGGGGAAACATCAGCCTTAGTTTCTGTGTCTGTGGCTGTGAGGCCAAGCACATGAGGACTCAGCACATTCTCAGAGTCTATTTAATAAGTACCTCTACAGCCAGATTTTCAGAGAAGAAAGTTTCTCACATCTCCACCCAACTGACTCTATCCACATTAATGATACTAACAGGGACTGCTATTTATTGAGCACCTGCCCCATGCCCTGTGCTCTCGTCCCCACTGAGCAGGCTGGTGATTTCATACGCAAAGAACCAGCCTGTGATAGTCACAAAGTCACTGTAGGTTGAAGCTAAGGTTTTACGTCAGGTTTCTCTGACTTCATGGTGAGGTTCCTGACCCTGCATTTATCCTCTTCCAAGTGTATTCTGCATATGCTGGCTTTATTCTAATTTCTACATCACACACGCTCACCGACCGTCTCTCCTTACCCAGTTGTGGTTCTCTGCACAAGAAGTTATTTTGAAAAGTTGAACATGGGACTAGGGTCATGTGGTAGCTGCAGATCTGGTTTTGATGCCTCACAGTCCCTTCCACTTTGAAACAGGACTGCAGCTGGTGTCCTTTTTAACTCACTTATTTAATGTACCTTTGAATACCTATTGCCTGCTGACTGTGCCTGAGGTGCTGGGCACCACCTGTTGAATGAGATGTGACCCCAGCTCCTTAGGGATTTCAGTTTAATGCTGTATTAGTGTCTCCTTTATGAAAACACTGGTGATTTAGTTTCAGTTTATTTCTAATGTGTCAACTTTCACCATCTCTGAGTTATCCTTGATAATAACTGCAAAAGGCCCATCTGCTTTCCAGCCACCTCCTGAGACCACCCGTTCTTATGTCACTTGAAATAGCGTATCTTTGCTTCTGTGTCGTTTCACTCACTTGACTAGGAATACACAGTGAGAGTCTGCTTTAGATTGTATTGTGCTGGGTTTTGAGGAAATAGAACAGGAGACAGTTCTACCACTTCACCACTTTCCTGATACTTCAGCTTCCTCCTGGCTGGGTCATTGAGTTGACAGTAAGAGCAAGATGGAGGGGAAGAAAAACCTATTTGGGTTGGAAATCTGAATGTATCCATTTTGCCTTTTATTCATTTGCGTCCCCCCCCTGCCAACGTGCCACTTAGTTTGAGCACATCATTAACATGCTCTTCAAACACATTTGTGATACGCTAAAGAGAACTGGCAACACTATAGACAGGAAAGCTCACTTCTCTCTCTCCTTTCCTTGGCATAACGTTCAAAGACTCCGATGGCATTCTTTAATTGCAAAGTACAATCTGAGTCATTTGACCGTATCTACCATGATTGGCTGTGACAGACTCATTCGGATCTTCTGCCTGCACCCTGGCCTCCTGGTGGGAGTGTGGAAGGTAAGACTTGAGTCCCTGTATGTATTGTGTCATTTCCCCATCACAATACCACGTTTACTTACCATTGTGTGTGACATCAAATGTAAAATGCTTTAAGTCTTTTCACTAACTGCAATCCATTTTACATCTCACCAACCTCATTTTTCCAAACTAACCTGGCCCTCTGGTCCACCAAGGCTGTTCTGCTATTCTGGTTATCATAGACAACTGTGCTATCTGTTGTTCTGCTGTTCTGCTATCGTAGACAACTGTGCTATCTGTTGTTCTGCTGTTCAGCTGTCATAGACAACAACCTCTTCCTGCCTTCATGTTTTCCTTCGTGTTACTCCTTTAATGTCATGTGACTTTCCCACTTCCAATCAGTCCGTGTTCCTTCTCTTCCTTTCATGCTCTTTCTTTGACAATGTCTCCCCTTACTGTGTGTTCAGCACGCTCGTCTCCCAAGCACGTTTCTGATCCTGTAGGTGCGGCATTGAGTGAAATCTGCTCTTCAGGGTCAAGTGTCTAAGATGTTATCCTTTCTCTGCATAAGATTTCTTGTTTCCCCGGGTCTGGCTGATATTTTAAGATAGTAGTTCACAAATCTGATTCTGCGTTGGCATTATGCATTAGTTTACAATGACTAGATGGAATTAAGACCCCAGCTTCAGACAACACCATCCTCTAGTCCCTTTTCCTTTCCTCAGCCGACTGTGGCTGTCAGTTTTTCTTTCCCTTCTCCCCTTTCTGTGTGAAGGTGGCTTGTGGGTGAGACTGCAGCTTGCCTGCTCTGCATTCTGTGACTCGCTTGCATTCAGCTGTGTCGGTGCAGAGTTGTGAGCACTCTGGTGGCTTCGATGGTCCTCTGCCTGGCTACTGGAGAGTGGCACCTTCAGAGTTACCATTTGGGGTCACCTACGCCCATCAGTGTCAGCTGTGAATCTGGGGAGAAATGGAGGTCAGTCCCCAAATAGTCGCATTTTCTGCTATTCAACCTGATGGACAAGTGAAGAAGTTGAATCTAATCATTCCCACCACGTTGGCCAAATCAGGCAGTTACTTGCAAGAGGAACATTGTGTCAGTGAAGTTCAGTATTTGTGAAATTAATATAGTATCTGTGAAGGTCTTTGAAAAGAGTTTGAAACAGCCTGGAACTAACTGTGTAGTTTCACAACTGTCATATATATCTTTTGATATTTTGCAAGCTCTGGGCTGTGAGTTCTTTTGGTCCTGTGTGCTCTGCATATTTGGGTGAATTGTGGTCCTGCTGTCGATATGAAATGTAAGTCTTATTAGATAGTAATAACATATTAGCAGTAATAATGCATTAGCACTGTGGTGATCTTATGGTTGGAAGAAACTGCATCTATCTGCAAGATGAATGTGCTGTGATCTTCACAATGACCTTGTGAAAAATTTGAACATTTTGGTTGAAATATATATTCTTCTTAATTAACTTTTCAGAAGGAGGAAGAACTGGCTTTTGTTATGGCAAATCTTCATTTTCATCACCTCGTGGAGAGAAGCACATTAGGCTCGGCCACTATGTATGTATTTATATGTGGGTGTGTTGAATTTTTGTACAGTAAATATAAAGTATTAGAAGTTGATGCCATCTTAGCATCCTGAGAATAGCTGCAGAGATATTCTGTTTTTAATCAGTAAACACAAACCAACAGGCATAATTATTTGGCTGTTGCTAACATAATTGGATTATTCACAAGTACATATTTGCTGTATTTATTCTGGGTTAAGGAATTTATACCTAGTAGGATGTTATTTATATGGGTAGGACAGCTTCATTACTTTAAGATGCCACTACTCTCCTTCAAGTTCTTGCTCTTAAGTGAATTTTCACATCTTGTAAGGCACGTAGACTCATGGCCCTTGGGCTGAACCTGGCCTGCGGATGATTCTGTCTAGTGTGGACAGTGTGTGTCTTTCAGTGAACTGTGTCTTTAGGTGGGGTACAGGCTCCCCATTTCACTACAGCTCTCACCCTTTTCCTGTGGACTTAGACTCTTCCTTACTCATTGTTGTTTTTTTTGATTACCTGAGAAGCTCCTGAATATTTTTGAATTTGTCCCCTTATGTAGTCATGTTTTTCTTGTTGAATAAAACTTTGTGTTGGCTTTGGGTCTGCCTGGATGTCTGTCTGTCCTGCAGATCGGTGTTCAGTGCCTTTTCCTGCTGAGCGCTTCTGTCCACTGGACAGTGAGAACAACATGGGGGCAGAGTGGCCTTTGTAGAGTGGCCATCCTGGGATCAGCTGCAGAAACACGTGCACCCGTGCTGGGCTGTGGCTGCCTACAGAACTCACATCATTGCCTGTTTTTACAGAAGTTGGTAAAAGGAACATTGAGCAGTCTTTTAAGTTTCCAGTATTGAAGATTATAGGGAATCCTATGGTGTTTCATTTGTAGGAGGTAGTGCTTTCATATGGATGGTAATTTTTTAAAAAGTATTTTCAAACCAAGAATTTTTTCCCTGGCACTGACAAATTTGCATGTTTCTTTTGTTTTGCTTTTCAGCCCCTATGAACTGCCTCCACATAGCCCGTTTTTGGATGATAGCCCCGAGTATGGACTGCACGGCTACCAGCTCCATGTTGATCTGCACAGCGGTGGGGTTTTCTACCTGTGTGGTACATTTCGCAATCTCTTCACCAAGAAAGGTGACATTAATTGAGTTTTTATTTCATTATGAAATTAAAGGTTGAGATGAGGGAACCAATTTTTATGTCTGAGTTAAGAATTGCCCTCACTGGTCACTTTATAATTTTTTGGCACCAGTATCCTCCCAGACCCGTGTGTCATCCCAGGGCTTGTGAAAGTCCTCACTGGACCAAGTCTCTTCAGCCCTGGCTCTGTCTCCTTCACCACCATCACTCTCAATGCCACCTCCTGGGGGCAGCCCCTACTCATCTTCTCTACCGACGCGTCCTTATTATTTTTCCATGCAGTCTGCTTTCCCCAGACTTCTTCCCTTCTTTCTCAAAGGAATGTGGTAAATTTGCCAGCAGGGCCCGTGCCACTCCAGGATGAGAGTAAGGAGAAACCAGCCTTTCTCCTCTACATACTGCATCAGTGTTTGCCAAGCCTACCGAAGCCAGGACAGAGGCTGGGCAGACAGAGAAAAGGAGGGGGCTTAGGCCAAGCAGGAAAAAAGTCAGAATGCCCTATTCTGACTTGTCTGATTATTTCCTTTTGGTTTCATTCATCTGTAGCCTGTAAACTTGGAGTTTCATGTAAGAACTTGATTAGATTCAAGTTTAACATTTCTGGTAAAAACATTTTAAAAGGGAAGTTATATACTTCATTTTGCATTATATTGAGAGGTATGTAATGTCAGGTTGTCCCATTATTAGTAATGCCGGGTTTTATCATCTCGTTAAGATGGTGACCACTAGATATCTTCATTATTAAAAATATTCTTTTCCAAATACCCTGCTCCTCCGAAGTCTTTCATCTAGTGGACTTAACACCCATTAATGATCTTTGCCTAAATCAAATACTTTGTTTAAAAATGTTGATTTTCTAATTATATCACTATTTCTATATTTATCAACTGAGCTTTTGTAAATAACTTTCTCTTATCACCTGGGTGAACTTCTAAAAAGGCAGAGCAAATGCTTAATTCTTTCCTTTTAACTGCCAATTTTCAGATGAAGAAATTGATGTTAAGAGCAAAAGGGGCTTGCTGCCCGATGTGCTAGAACCCAATGCTGTGACACCCGGTTTTTGAGAAAAGAAAAGCTTTTTATGGCTGGTCCACTAACAAGGAGACAGGAGTCCAGCTGAAACCTGTCTCCTCATGCTGGCTTTAATGCAGGAATTGTTTTAGAAAAGGTTTGGGGAGTGGATTCTGGGATTAGTAGGTGATTGGTGGAAGGAAAGGGGAGGTGCAGAAGGTCCTCAGGCATGGCACAGTTATCTCTTCATGCCCTCATGGGCCACTTGCAAATTCAGGAGGAGTTAATATGAAACGTGGTGGGAATTCAGGCTGTGATGTCAGAAAGCTCCTTCTGTGAAAACTCCAGTTGGCCATATTGGTTCCGACGGATTTCAGCTAGTTTTGTCTTACAAGTGGAGGGAGTTTTAGTATTTCAGTAAGTCGCTTTTTTTCCTTATCTGCCATCTTGCAAACTCAAGCATTTCTGTGAGTCATTAGTTTCTTTAACTCTGTGGAACATGGTTTCCTTGATGCAGTAGTCATCTCCTGTGGTGGGAAAATCTGGGCTCTTCTTTCCTCTTCGGCCCCACCCTTGTTTAGTGTCACTTTGGACTCTGGGATATTTACTTATTCAACAATTTATAGTCAGTTATAGACATTTCTTTTTGAAGTTAAAATTGTCCCCAGCTTTTTGGGTGGGGTCTGCTTCAGGCTGCTTCTGTGTCTGATAACCCGTTTGCCTTTGAGTCTTCCTTGCTTTTTGGCTCAGGAATATTTCTAGGTTTTCTTGTGTTTGTTGGCATTTTTATCAGAATTGTTCAATTCCATATATTAACCTGAGGTGTATTAACATCTTTGTTGTTGAATTGTTCCATCCAAGAATGTGGAACGTCTTTCAGTTTGTTTAAAAATACTTTTATGTCTTTTAGGAGTGTTTCAGAATTTTCTTCATATTAGTTTTGTACATTTCTTGTTAAGATATTTATGAAGTATTTAATTCTTGTTACTTCTCTTTTGTTTTATCTTCCAGTTGTTTCGTAATTTCTTTGTGAGGTTTTGGTCTCATAAAATGAGTTAGGAAGTATTCTTTCCTCTTGGATTTTTTGGAGGATTTTTGCATATAATTGGTAGTATTTCTTCCTTGTTTGGTAGAATTCATCTATGAAGTCATCAAAGCCTGGACCTTTCTTTATGAAAAGATGTTTAACTACAGTTTCCTTTTCTTTCAAAGAGATAGAGCTATTTAGGTTATTCATTTCTTCTTGAGTGAGCTTTGGTATTTTTTTGTCTTTTAAGGCATTTGTCCATTTTATCTAAGTTGCTGAATTTGTTGGCATAAAGTTCTTCATAATAGTCCCTTATTATCTTTTTCATGTCTATAGAATCTGTAGTGACATGATGTGATTCCTGATATTGGTAATTCGTGTATTCTTTCTTTTTTTCCTAATCAGTGTGATTGGAAGTTTATCAATTTTATTGATCTTCTCAGAGACCTAACTTTTGGTTTTATTGACTTTTTTCCTGTATTCTGTTTTGTATTTCATTGAATTGCATGTTGATTTTTGTTCTTTCTACTTTTTTTCTGCTTATGTTTTAATTTGCTCTGTTTTTCGTTTCTTGAGGGAGAAGTGGAAATTATTGATTTGGGAACTTTCTTATTATATTAAGATGTTTGATGCTATGAACTTCCACCTAAGTACTGCTTTAGTGGCATCCCACAAATTCTGATATGTTTTATTTCATTTTTATTCACTTTAAAATATTTTCTAATTTCCCTTTTATTTCTTCTTTGATCTATGGGTTAGATAGAAGCGTGTAATCTAGTTTCCAAATATTTGGGGATTTTCTGGAGATCTTTCTGTTACTGAGTTCTAATTTAATTCGATTGTGGTCAGGAAGTATGCTTTGTATTGCTTGAATTTTTAAAAAGTGACTGAAATCTGTTGTATGTTCCAGAATATGATCTCTTTTGGTCTATGTTCTGTGTGTACTTGAGAAGAATGTGTTCTGCTATTGTCGAGTAGCGTGTTCTACCATATTAATTAGGTCAGATCGGTTGAGAGAGTTTTTTTTTTTTTTGCCTATCAATTACTAAGAGAGGGGTGTTGAAATCTCCAGCTCTGATAGTGGATTGTTTGCTGTTTTATCAGTTTTTGCCATGTGTATTTTGAAGCACTGTTATATTCATGAACATTGGAGACTATGATATCCCTTTGACTAAGTACACACTGTGTACACTGTTGAGGGTGCCGCCAGTGTGCCCCAATGCATGCCAAGGGTACAAACGCTGTGCCTTATATGCCAGTATTAGCTGAGAACTGAGTCTCTGCTCTCCATGGCTGCAGCCCTCATAGAGTGTTGAATTGGGCGTCTAGCCTGACCTGTGCCACCAGTGTGAGCAGCTGTCCTGGGAAATGGGGGAACAAGATGCGATTTCCACAGCGATGAGGTGAGATGGCTGGCTGGTCCCAGCCACAGCTGCTCCTCAGAACTCTCCTTCCCCTTTAAACCTTGTGAACCATTATGGAGCCCTGTGTGTCCCCACTTTGCCTCCCCCACCTCAGCCCACACTGCCGCTGTTCCCTCTCTGGCCTTATCCCTTTCTGTCCTCACCACTCTAGCTCTGCTGCAGCTTTAGTGAGTTCCTCTCTGTTCCTTGACTATGTCAGGCCTGCTGTGGCCTCAGACTCTTGGTGTGCCCCTCTCGCCTGCAGCGTTACTGCCCTGGATCTCAGTATGGGTCCCCGGGGTCGTGTTTCTCTGAGCCTGATTCACTGACTGCTTCTCAGTGAGGCTTTACCCACTTTGCTACACCTAGAAGCCCTCACTCTCCCCATTTCTCACCTGCCCAGCTCAATTTTTCTCCATAGCACTATCCAACACACAGAGTTTACTTATTTAGGTAGTTTGTATGCTTAAGAGAAGTAACTTGAACAAGGCAGTATTTTGGTTTATTTTGTTCAGGACTATCATGGCACATAGTAGGCATACACATAAATATCACAAAGAGAATGGCCACGCAGTTGAGGGGCTCTTAGATAGACTCTTCTGGGCCTATTACCTTAAAGCTCTTTCTGTTTCTTTAGCTAAAGGATTCACAGCTGCATTGGCCAGGATCTTTTTGGTCAAAGCTCTTGCAGTTCTCTGTTGCCTCTAGAGGAAAAGATGAAGCTTCAGGATGCTGCAGAGCAGAGCTACAAGCTGGCCCTCCTTGTAGGACCAAAGCAAGGTCAGCGAGGGCCTGAGCCTCTCCACCAGGAGAGAGAAGCCCTGCCTCATCCTGCCTCTCAGGGTCTGGGGAGGCCCCAGGAGGCTGGTGGGGCCTAGTTCCTAGGCTGCTCTGTGGTTCCAGAGCTGCCGCTGCTGGTCTTCCTCCACTGCCTTAATTCCTTTTCTTTTACAACCCAGAGGGAGGGCATCAGAATCCCCCTTCTAAAGTACGTGACTGTGTACTTCTCTCTGGAAAGAAAAAGCCTCACAAATTCAAAGTCTGGCAGAATACTTTCTACCTTTGTACCTATGGTAGGTTACTTGGCTAGAGACATAAAAATGAAATTTGTGTTTAGGTACTTAGTGTCTGTATCATCCTCTCATTACAAGGTAAGTATCAGGAACTTGTGCTGTTTCTCATCTGAGATGGTTTATAAGACATAGCTTTTGCAGTATACCAACTATTCTATAAAAATTGCTTCCAAGATACTAGTTATATTACTTTCAATTTTTAAAATGTTTATTTTGAAATAATTTTACATTGTACAAATACAGATAACTCCTGTACAGTCTTTATACAGAATTTACCAAATTACAACATTATTTGCCATTAAAAATCATTTTTTCTTTCTCTTTCTCTCTCTCTCTCCTTTTCTCTGTGTGTATAATGTTAATAGACCCCTTGATGTTTATGACTTGTGTGTATATACATATATATACAGATACACACATATATACACATATATACACATACATATGTATGTATATATAAACAGACATATATACACATAC